ACTGCTGGTAGCTGCTGTGTACCACTAAAATTAACAATGTGCTAAATTAAAATTGTAAATTTTAAACAAACCCAAAAATTAGAATGCACTGTATTAATTTTTCCATAGCAGAACCAATCAATATGCAACAGAAAAAAATGGTAGCATTTATCACATTGGATTTAGCTAACACCCCAGTCTCTTCTAGTAGTAAACCTTTAACGTTACCTCTGACAAATTAATCAGCAAAATAAACCAGTTCCAAAGTCAAATATCCCCATTCCAAAATGTTTAGAACCTGAAGGGTTTTAGAGTTCTGATTTTAAAACAATTTTTGAATATCTCTATCTATATATCTAGAACTTCCAGGACCCAAGTCTAAATCTGAAGTTCACTGATCAATCTACATGACACACAGACTGAGGTAATTTTACACAGCATTCCAAGAGTTCCTGCATTCTGACTTTGACCACTCACATGAGGTCAGCACCTAAAAAGTTGTGGATTTTTGGACATTTCAGATTTTGGATTTTTGGATTAGGGATAATTTGTGTTTAAAAAATATCACTGGAAAATTTAATGGTAATTTCATGGCACTATCTATATCTTACTGATTTATATTAATGGACTAATATATATATACCGAAACCTGCTTATGTAAATTTAATAGATAAGACTGGTTTTAAGTGAAAACCTGACAAAAAATCTCAACAACATTTTTGTTTTCTAAGCTTCTCTTTCAGTAATAGAATCTCAGTTTTAGAATTTAAAAATTAGTGTTCTAGAAAAAAAACCATTAATCCATTGACAAAAATTATTCAAGTAAAGTGGATCATAATAAACATAACAAAATTACTTTCAATCACTATTGTCTTAATTGAACACACCAAACCTGAAGGGCCTTCTGTGAACCAGGCACTGTCCTGGCTCTAACCACATACAAGGACAGGCTCTGTATTAGGTGGAGGAGGTGAGGGGCTGAGCTGGGCTGATCACCAGAAGGCCTAAGGGAGGTCATAGGAGGGGGTCATCCACTGGGGTTCACTATGATGACACCTGATCACACTCGTGAAGATGAGGAGAGATAACCAGGTAGAGAACGGGGCAGAAATGTCGTTAGCAAAGAGATGGAAGTATGAACTAACCTCCTGGATTACAGCAAGCACCAACAGAGACTAACCCGGGCTTGCATCCTTTCTGTGGTGTTTTTCCTTAAAATGTTGCATTTCAATCTCCATATAGTCATCATAGAGGACAAATGAACATCAACTGCCTGACACAGGGAAAGGGACCTGAAAATGAAAAATGGCAACCACGAAATCCATGTGCAAAGAAGCAGGAGCTGATGTCAGCAGGGGACAAACCTGGGTGAGGGGGTTAGTGCAGGGTTAGGGCAACTTGCCCAGCTTGTGTGAGGTGGTGAGTTCAATTCCCACCCTAGGGGAGAAAAAAAAGGAGGCAGAAACAAAATTGCAAAACAACCAGGGATTGTTTAGTTTAGGGGCATTCAGTCTGTGAGAACAAACTATAGAACAATATGTTTCCTGATAGAATAGTAATCCAGAGTCAAAGAGGCAAAATTACTTCTTAGGTTCCTTGTTTATATATCAGGAGGCTGTGTACTGCATACACTTAGGTCCCTACCCAATGCTATCAATATTAAAATTTGTTACATTAAATACGAAACCTGTAGTTGCTCGTGAAATTATTTGTGAACCATTTAATTTCCCAACCATATCAGAGACACAAGATATTATAATGCAAATAATAAAATATGATAAAGAATCTTTAGATAGAAAATATTTAGTCACTGACTGTGAGAAAATTAAAAAGCTACAGGTTTTCATTTACTACATGCATAACTCTCTTCACTTTTTCATAACACGGTTTCTAATTTGAAGCTTATTTCACCCAACATTGTTACACAAAGTCTCAATAATGTCGCTGATGAGTGAAAAGATAAATGAATAAAAAATGATTTTATACACTGAAGGAACTACTGACAGTAAAGTCTTGCATTTCACAACAATAAACTATACTATATTAATTTAACCCCAAAATTAGGGAATAAAGGTACTCCCTAAAGTCTTCTATTTTCTTACATTGCCAAAGACATGTGTATTACATGTCAAATCACTAGCCTACACTGAAATAAAAATAACAATATGGGGGCTGGGGATTTAGCTCAGCGGCATAAGCGCCTGCCTTGTAAGCGTGGTCGTGAGTTCGATCCCTGGTACCGATATAAATCCAAAAAAAGATAATACGATATAAAATATTTTAAATAGCAAAAACATGGGCCAGACTAGTCAGTTCTGAATGACTGTAATGAACTGATATCACTACATTAAGTACTCTGTCCTAAAGATCCAATATAAAAATAGCCAAATTTATATTATTAACCTTATTTTAAAAACTTAAGTATTTACCTTTTTGCATTAAGCACACTCATACCACCCATCTGTTTCAACAGATTTCTGAATTTAATTTAGTAACCTAAACTCATGACTTTTTAAAAACCAGTGGCATACATTCTATGTTCCATCTTTTTCCTCTTATTGTCCCTTAAGAATTAAATACACAAGTTTGTTACCCTTTCATCCTCAGAGCTTCTCTATCAGGCTTATCTAAAAGTCTGTTAGGGTGCTAACATCTTAAAATACACCCTTCAGTTTTGTTTCTTTATTTCAGATTCCTTTAGCAAATTTGTTAATAACATTTACAAAGAGTCACTCCAGTTTCTATGGATTTATTTGATTCTGTATAGTATTCTTGGTAAGTAACATTCGTAAGACTAGGAAAAATAGATAATTGATTTGTAACTTCACAAAAACTATTTGTAATAAAGTCTGAGGCTTTGTTAAAAAGTATTTTTCTCATAGTTAATAGCAACTCATCTTTTTTCCTGTTCAAAGTGCAAATTTAAGGTATTTTTAAAATCCTGGTAATTTTTAAAAAGCATAAACAGTTTTTTATAAGAAATAACATGTCAAGCATTATTCAACAATGGCCATTTAAAAGTTTCTATCTAATAAATATATATTGTGCGTTGAATTATCAATTGGTGCTCTACTTACAGAAAAAAAATGTTTATATAGGTCAAGGCAGTAAGAAATTGCTAAGTACCCACGTACAAACTGAGGACACAAGACTGCACTGCTGCCCTAAATTGCACAGTGAAACAAAAGCTTTACCATCTACACCGTTTTTATCCATCTCAAAGCTCCCAATCCTATGTACACTGCACCATACACTCCCGGACCAAAGCTACCGGAGATTAAAGTACATGGTAATGACAGACCTTTCAATTAGTACAAAGAAAATACCCGTGTTGTTCACAATATTTACTGAATTAACATTTACGGGTCACTTTAGTAGAAAGAATGTTTCTCTTTTCCTAAATACCACCTGCTCCCAAGTCGAGGCCGCGTCTGCCGTTTTCAGGATGTTAGAAACGCCGCGGAGGACTATTGAGTTTTACAGCGGTGTGACTCTTTAGTTATCCCAAGAACACGAGGACGCTGCTTTTGCGAAGCAAGGATAGTTTGATGACTTTCCCAAGGAATTCAAACAAACTCAGTCAGAACCTGGTTTTTGCTTTAGGAAAACCGGAGGCTCACTAGGAAGATCAGGTCCAAGGGAACTGCTAGTGCCAATTACTACAAAACGTCCCTTTCCAGCCCAACACCATTCCCCTTAGGGGAAAAAGTCACTTTTCATGTACAACAAGTCAGAGTGGCCTGATTCCAAGGCACACCGAGGCCCTAGACCAAAGAAAAGCAACCGAAGCGCTTCTCCCACCCGTTTCGTTGCCACCCAGGGGTGCCCCACAAACGTTCTCTCTGCAGACCTAGGGTTGACCCCCTCGTGTCTGACACCCCGTAAGAGGCGAAATCCGAGCGCAGTTACCGCTTTGCAGAGCTGGGGGAGGCGGATGTTCGCGAACCCACACGCGCTGCCCTCTGAAATACCTATTTACTTTCAACAAAAGAATAAACACAAGCAAAGCCGAGGCCGGTCGCTCCGGGAGGCTCACCTTCCATGGCGCGCGGCTCGGTCCACGTGCTCCTGCCGTCGCGGGCGGGCGCGCGGCTGGCGGGAGATTCCCGGCGCGGGGAGTCCCGGGGATCAGGTGGCGTCGGCGCCGCGGGGAGGAAAGGCAAGGAAAGGCAGGGAAGGGAAGGGCAGCGAAGGGCAGGGCCCGCCGGGCCACCGCGGGCTGCAGCGGCGCTGGCTGGCGGCGGCTCGCAGCGCTGAGCGCGGGCGCCGGGCTCCGCACTTGTAGCCCCCTGCGCGCAGTCAGGCCCGGGACCCGACAGCAGGGAAAAGGCGCCCCAGGAAGCGGCGGGGCGTCTCTGCAGGGAGGGGAGCGGCGGCAGCCAGCATCGCCCGGCGCGTTCCCGGCAGGCTCACGTGCAGAGAGCTTTCGGTGAGCGAGCGGGAGCCCGCGTCAGGGCTGGGGAGCGGTAGCCTGAACCCCAACAGTGAGAGCTCCCTTCGCTGCGGATATGGTGTTTGGGGAGCCCCCGCCTTCCTCGGTTTTGCACTTCACAGGTTAAAAGGTCTTAGTCCAGCTTTTCGCAACGGCACTTCCATCCACTCGACGTCTTACCGAGGGGAGCAATGGCTGGCGGGGGGGGGGGGTCGCTTGCTTCCCGCCTCCCAGGCCACCTCAGAAGAGGGCGCCGGGGAGGCCGGCGGCAGTCAGAACGCCGGCGCTAGCCCTCAGCGCGGCCGGCTGGCCCTCGGGGCTTCCCCGGCCTCCTAGAGCACGCGTCTGGGCGAGGACAGGAACGGAAGGGCAGTGGGGCTCTTCTCCACGCTTAAGACTGAGGGCATTATCTGGGCGAGTGCTAAGGGTGTCCGCGTGTTAAGAGTGAATACATGAATAGCCCCTGTCACCCTTGTTATAAAATTGCATCATTAGTGCAGCAGAAATACAGTGGAGATCTAAGGTCAAGAGCTTTGGGATCAGTGGGTCCCATCAGAAGAACCCTGTATTTATGAGATTAATGCATGCATAGCGTAATTTTATGAATTTAAATTTATTTTAAATAGAATCTTGAGCTGCATGTAAGAGCAACCTAGAGAGACTCTGACAGCTCAGGTAGGCCCAATACCTGAGGCTGCCACTCACCTTTCCTATAAGGAAAAAAAAAAAATGGAATTTCTGTGTATAAGAAGTGTATGTAATGTATACTATATATACATTTAAGTTTATTTACAACAGTATGTTGGTGATACAGACAGTGTGTATAACACACAATATACATATAATTAACAAGTGACTAGCTTGCATGGCCTTTAAATATCACAGCACCACAGGACCATCGCTATGACTATGAATTGGAGTATTGAAGTATACTACCAATGTCAGAGAAATATTCTAAACACCAGGTTTAATTTTAGAACTGAAAGGGGAAATTTGTTGTTTGTTAGTTTCTAAAAGCAAAAATAGCACATCAAAAGTAGCAGAAGAGGAACTGTAAACTTTCACAGGGATGGTATGAGGATATTTGGTTATTAAACTTACAAGAAAACTTTATTACCTTCCATTACAGTGTTTTCTGTAGGTAACAATGGGAGGTTACTTTTCTGTACTTAGTCCAGTATTCAGTATTTCAGGCTCCAAAAAGTCATATCCAAAGGAACAGACAAAAATAGATAAGTAAAGTAATTTATACAGTTACTCCACCCTCAAGAATGGGGCATAATCCTCACTCTTTAGGTGTATGCTACACACAGCCACTTCCTTCCAAAGAGCACCGTATGAGAGGGGGCAAAGAGGCTTTATAGTAGAGAAAGCTGACAAGTGCAAGGGATTAATGGGGATAAGGCATGAGCAGTTTATGTTTAGTCGATGTATTAAGGATGTCACTTTAAGCTGGGCTTGGTGGTGCATACCTGTAATCCCAGCACTCAGGAGCAGGCTGAGGCAAGAGGACTGCTGCAAGTTCAAGACCAGCCTACGCTACAAAGTGAGCTCAGGACCAGCCTGACCTGCATAGCCAGACCCTGTCTCAAAAAGACAAAAAAAAAAAAAAAGTCACTTATTTTTGTGGTACTCCTCTCAAACACCCACAGCTTTCATCTGGTAATGAGAAAACCATCAGCCAAATTCCAATCCAGAAGCCTTCTACAAACTGCTTGACCACGTAAGGCCAGGGCAAGGTCGTCAAAACTGTTATTAACTGTTGAGATCATAAAAAATAAAAGCAAAAACGAGTCTGAAAACCTGGAGCTGGAGAAAGAAATAAGAGGGGATGGAAAGTAAAAAGAATTAAGATGTGTTATGTGTATGTATCAACTCCCCATGATGAATGTAATCATTATGTACTGCAAATGTTTACTAATTAAAAAAAAATTCTGAAAGACTGTCACAGACAAGAGGAATCAAAGGGGAACATGACAGCAAAGTGTAACAGAGAATACTGGATGGAATCCTGGAGCATAGAACTTAAAGAAGCATGGACTTTAGTTAATAGTAATGTATCAATGTAAGTTCATTAACGGTGAGAAATATACCATGCTAATGTAAAATGTAAATAACAGAAAATTTGAGGGTAGGGCTATGTGAGAATTCTGTACCATTTTTGCAATTTTCTTGTATGTCTAAATCTTCTAAAATAAAACAGCTTATTTAAAAAGTGTGGCTATGTAGTCCTTTCAACAGACAGATGCTACACATATGGTTAAGACTCCTCTCATAGGAGTCAAAGTTTATCACCTAAGTCTCACAGGATCAACTATTTCATAACCTAAAAGTCAATAAAACCCCAGATTTATAATGCACCTTTTATAAAACCCCAGATTTATAATGCACATTTACAATGGCAAAACCTGAAATGGCAAACTTCTAGAGAATTACAGGAATGCCCACATTTTTCTTCATGGCCTTTGGCTTCTGAAGGCAACAGTTGGGACTAAACCATGAATATGGTAACTGACAATAGGTAGATCTGACTCACTGAATCACATTTCATAGCTTATACTTTTTTTTTTTTTTACCTAGGTAAAATTAACAGTGACTAAAAATGAAATTACTGACAAAGGTTGCTCCTGGACCATCTGAGATAGCCCAAATACTGACTCGGCTCAAAGGAAATAAAACTGAAAACTGTTGATCTCACCCAAAATAACCATTCTTGCACCTCGTCTGAACCTTTGGGTTCTCTACCAAGCAGCCTACTCAAAACCACTACTGAGGGTTAGTAGTACTGAGGGTTAATACAGAAATAGACAAAATGGAGCTTTTCGGGCCACCACACCAGCAACCAAGAAGGACCCATGCCACTCACAGGCACGATCTCCTCCAGAGATCGCCCACATTGCATCACTGCCACAGAAAGCCAGACCTTGGACTCTTGCCTTTCAACGGGCCCATGTTCCAGAGCTGAGTCTTCTCCCCATCAGACCTGGCTGGTGGGAGGGGCGTCTCCGTGGTGCTGCGCTCCTGAAGCCCGAAACAAAGGTCCGCGCAGGCGCCCTAGGGTTCTTTAGGGTCCCGACACTGTGGACAGAAGCATACACTTAGGTGAAAATTAGAGAGTCTGAAAAAGATTGTGGACACAGCTCCATCAGTCCCGAGAACGAACACGCGGAGCCCTCAGCTTCACGCAAGAGAAATTTTTCACAAGGCTGCTCCCTACTTTAGGCCCTCAAACAATGCCATCCTCTTGCTCTACCTTATCTTGGTCCGTGGAACCCGTGGTACTCTCCTCTAGGTCTCTTAAGTCTCCCCTAGACTAAAGAGGTCTCCATGACTCAAGACCCACGTTTCATTTGCCCCACTCTCTTCGTCCATTTGGTGCACAGGAGAGCGTGGGAAAATGGCGGCCTCGCGAGGTGTGAAGTGCCCGCCTGACAGCGACTGCGCATGCCCAGAGGCGAGGCGCCCGCAGGCTTAGTACTAGCCCCGCCCCCGAAGTTCGAAGCACGCACGCGCGCAGTCGGGCGTCGCCCCCCCCCTCCTGCGCTGTAGCCACGGACGGGTAGCTGAGTTGACTCTGGGCGGTTTGCCAGGCTGTGTGGAGGAGCGCGATGGCAAGGCGTCGGATGGGGATTGCGGCAGGAAGGAGCCCAGCGGTCGAGGCCTCCTGCGACGCCACCTCTTGAGCAGCCATGGGAGCGTGGCTTCTACTCCCCGCGATGCTCTACTACCTCGCAGGAAGTGAGGCTCACCCCGCCCAGACCCCAGATTGTCCCCTCTGACCCCAGGATTGCCCTCCTGTGTCCCAGGATTGCCACCTCCTCCTCAGGATTGTCTCCTCCGACCTAGGATTGCCCATTCTGCCCCCAGGATTGTGCCCTGCATCCCAGAATTGTCCCCTCCCCGCTAGCTTCCCTTTCCTGCCCCCGCCCCCAGCCCTGTCCTCTCTGATGAGTGGTCTTCTCTCCTCTCCAGCTGGCTGGCCGCGCTCCTCCCTGCTCAGTGACAAAGGCCTCGTGTACGGCAGGCTGGGGCACCCAGGTAAAGGGACCCACACGGGGCCCACAGAGTAGCTTGCTAGGTGTCCTGGGCTGCTGGTGCATCGTTCCACGCTCACAGTGACCCCAGCTGTAGCTGTACAGCCTTTGCCTTAGAGTGCTCTGCTATTTTCCTTACATTTTTTCTTTCTTTTCTTTTCTTTTCTTTTCTTTTTTTTCTTTTTTCTTTTTTTTTTTTTTTTTTTTTTTTTTTTTGTACCAGGGACTGAACTCATGACCTTGGACTTGCCAAGCAGGCAATTATCTCTGCTGAACTAAATCCCCAGCCCTTTCCTTACATTTTCATCACCCACGTTTGTAGTTCATTCTGCACTCAGTGTGGGGAGTTGGCACAGGTACATAACACATCTTAGGTCTTTTTGCATCCCCATCTCTGTTTCATCATTTGCAAAAGATCTGCTTCCTGACGCGTAGTATCTTTTGTGTTGTTTGCTTTTAGTTTGTTTTTTGGGTTTCTCATGTAAGAGAAACCATGAGATATTTAAACTTGTATGTCAAATTTATTGCACTTAACACTGTGGTCTCACATGGGGTGTGGTGGCACACACCTGTAATCCCAACACTCCAGAGGCCAGGGTTAGGGATTGTAGGTTGATGTCTTTATACATTCAGAGCCTGGTGTTCAGCAGACTTTAAAGCTAATACCTTGCAGTGCTGTATTGGTTCCAAGCCTACTGGCTCTGCACCTAGCAAATCGGAGTCAATGTGGGTGACTGCAGAGCGCCTTCCTCCTGTGCCTCATCTAGATTCAATTATTATTCCCAGCGAAAGAAACTTAGAGCAAAATGCCATGTTTCTCTTCAGGATAATCATCAGTTAATTCTGCAATCAAGTTCAAGTCCTTCTCTGGACTTTAAGTGGATTCCATTATCCCTTTACAAATATGTTTTGAGTGAATTATGAATCTGCACATTAACATGAACCTCTGAATGTATCATGCACATTTTTATAAACTAGTATCACCAAAAAAAGGTGAAAAGGCTCAAACAGTTTAGAGTTTTAACAACTTACCTTAAAAAAGAAAAGGGACTGCAAGCATCCTAAATGTTTTTCTGGGTTTTTTGTTTGTTTGTTTTTGCTTTTTTGAGACAGAGTCTTGTTATACAGTTCAGCCTGGCCTTGCATTCACTGTGTTCCCCAAGTTCGCCTTGAACTTGTGGTGATCTTCCTGCCTTAGCCGAGTATAGGGATGATGGGCATGCACCACAACGCCCAGCCCTAAATGTTATAATACATCAATTTTTTAAATGCTGAATTCACATCTGGGTATGATGGTGCATGTCTGTAATCCTAGTGTTCAGAAAGCTGAGGCAGGAGGATTGCTGCCAGTTTGAGGCCATCCTGGACTACACAGTGAGTTCAAGACCAGCCTGGGCTACATGGTGAGTTCAAGGCCAGGCTGAACTACAGAGAAAGATGCTGTCTCATTAATAATAATAGTAATAACAGAATACTGAAATTCAAAAAGAACTAATTAGTATCCTTGGGACAGAAGTGTTTTTTAAAATTTTGCAATATAATGTAGTTATACATTATTTTATTTTGTTACAGTGAAAATATATGTAAAATTACATCAAAATAGTCCAATCCTTGTCTGTATGGATTCCCATCGTGCAAGTGAAGAAACTGTAGACCCCACATACTTATGGATTGGGCCTAATGAAAAGATGTTAACAGGTAATTATTTGATCTTAATCTGCTCAATTTTAATGTCAGACTTGTTTTAGAAAAGTGTTGTTTATTGAAAAAAACAAATTGAAATTTAACTCTGTTTGTTCTAAACTTAAATCATGTTGTATACCCTGGTCTGTTACTTTCTTCTTATGTCAAAACTGGAGCAATGATTTTGTTATGATTGATTTCTTTTAACAGTGCTGAGGCTTGAAAACAGGGCCTGGTACATGCTAGGCAAGCATTCTGCCTTTGAGCTACTCACCCAGCCCTGACGGGGTAATTTTTGTGCCCTACTTTCTATAGCTGTATAAGTTCAAAAAGTCTTTGGTTTGGTTTGGTTTGGTTTTTTGAGACAAGGTCTTTCTATGTAGTCCAGGCTGGTCTTGAACTCATTATGTAGCCCAGGCTGGTCTCGAGCTTGTGGCAGTCCTCCTGCCTCAGCCTCTCAAGTGCAGGGATTACAGGTGCACACTGCCATACTCAACCTAGTTCAGAAATCTTTATGAAACCTAAAAATTTATCCTTGTAGCACCAATAATAGGTAATGAAATAGCCAATGTGTAGTTTTCTTGGTGTTGGAAGAGTCCCCTGGAGTTAAAGCATAATTCATTGGTTTCTGGGTTTTTTTTTTTTTTTCCTTTTCCATACTAAAGATTGAACACATACTAGGCAAGTACTTCACCACAGAGCTACAGTCCTAGCCCCTTTTTATGGTGTTTTATTTTCTTTTCTTGAGGCAGATTAACCTCAAATTTGCAGTCTTTCTGCCTCAGCCCTCCAAGTAGCTGGGGTTACAGACAGACAACCTCTGTACCCGGCAGCAACTTTCTGTTTCATGTGAAGAAATTGGATCTCATTTACTGAATTAATGGCATAAGCTGACTGAAACAGATAACAAGAAATGAATCAAAGAAAATGAACATGTATTTCAGAAATGTACTTAGCTGGTGGGTTTTCATACAGTGATATGACAAGGTTTACTAAGTAGCATTTGAATTGTTCATTTAGTAATCAAATTATTTTCCATTCGTGTTTAGGAAACAAACAATTCAATATTACAGAAACAGGAACCCTGATTGTGAAGGATTTCCTGGAGCTTCTGTCTGGACTTTACACATGTACTCTTTCTTACAAGACGATTAAGGCGGAGACCCAAGAAGAAACCATAGAAAAGAAGAGATATGACTTCATGGTCTTCGGTAGGAGTATAGGCACACTGCGATTTATACAGTTAGTGTGAGTCAGAATTACGTGTAAAGTTTCTTCATTTTAGTGCAAATGAGCCTGGCTATAGGCACTCACTATGATTTACAGAGTATTTGGAGGTGAATTTGACTAGGCAAACTCCTAAATTAATGTCAAGGTGAGTGTGCCCTAAATAACCCTCTTTTGGCTCTGCCTCCTATTATCTAGGTGTGTAACCAACCACAAACCATCACAATTTTGTCAGGATATTTAGAAATCAACATTTAATTCTATAAAAGCAAATTAATGACCCTTTCACTGAGTGGGGCTGAGAATTAACTCCAAATGAAGACCCTCTCCAAAAAAATCACTTTAGTTTTTTTCCTGATGCCAGTCCTAGGGATCCAACCCAGGACCACACTCGTGCTAGGCTCTGATACCCCAGCATTGCTCTTTATTTTGAGACAAGGTCTTGCTAAATTGTCCCGGCTGGTTTTAAACTTGTGGCCTTCCTGCCTCAGCCTCTGGAGAGACTGGGATTACAGGTGTGCACCACCAAAGCCATCTTATTTCTCCTCTTGATACTCTTGTCTTTATGTTGTCCCACGGAAGCCATTTTTTCTCAGTAACTGTCCAGATGGGAATAACATGTTTTCTTTGGAATTATTAGTTTTGTGTGTTTTGCGAGCACATGGATACAATTTATGAGAAAGGTAAAATTTTCAGGATTGATGGGACTTAATCCTACCTGTTATCTGCAAATGGCTTAGTAGAATAAGTTAATGCCAGGCACAGTTACTCGCATTTCCATCTTGTTTTCAAAGCCTACCGGGAACCTGATTATTCTTACCAGATGGCTGTACGTTTCACCACGAAGTCTTGTGTAGGAACATACAACAACCAGCTCTTCAGGCTGTTGAGGAAGATCTTGAATAATTTAATCTCTGATTTGTCATGCCATGTCATAGAAGCATCATATAAATGCCATGTGGTTGAAATTCCAGAAAATGATCTCATGCATGAGCTGTTCATAGCCTTTCAAGGTAAAAAAAACAGTTTTTCAAACATTTCTTTCATTTGATGAATGTGGTTCTGAGCCAAGATAAACTGTGAAATTAACTACTGTGTGAAAACACGATATCTCATGAATAACAGGTTTTAAAAATGTTTATTGAGCACTATAGTATAGTTCTCTGGTTGTGATTTTTAAAAAATAATTAGCATACTAATTATTTGCCTTCAAAGATGACATATTAGTGCTTATCATTTATAAGTCAATTATTTTATTACTTGGGTCTTTAATTATTAGCTAATATTTCAATGATAATTTCTTCCAGAAATTTAAATTGTATTTTTGAGGTTTTAACAAAAGGAAGTCACCAAACCGGTTTTTTTTAAACGTTGTAGTTACTTCTATTAGCCAGCAGATGGCGTAAGGTCATAACGGATGGGTTACTCAGCTAGGGCGCCTTTACTGTAACAGGACGTTAAAACCTAAGTGCCTGCAGGTTTAAGCACTTAGGCTTTATCCAGATGTTTGGAGTTTGTTAGAATTCTTTTGTGAGCCTGACTTGTTTTCCCTCCCCCAGTTAACCCTTTCGCACCCGGATGGAGAGATGCATGTGGTGGATCTGTTGATTGTGAAGATGTCACTAACCAAAATATCCTCAAGGTGAGTGTTTCATTGGGAGGCGAAAATACTTGAATAATCAGAAAGGCTATTTTTAAATTTTTAAATACTTTATTCAAGGCGGAGGATTTAGCTCAGCAACACAAGTGCCTGCCTGGCAAGCACATGATTCCAGAAATAAATATATATATATATATATATATATATATTTGTTGTTGTTGTTGTTAAAAGCTTCTTCAGAAATCTGCTTCTCCATGGTGTATTTGCCATTCATAAAAATTTAGTATGAATTTAAATTCCTGTTTTAGTTCTGTTTTGATCCGTCTTGAGACAGGTCTCACTCTGTAATTCAGGCTGGCCTTGAACTTAGTATATAGTATAGACTCGCAATGAAATCTGAATGACCCTCCTGCCTCAGTTGCCCAAGTGCTGGGATTACAGACATGTGCTGGCACGCGTGGCTTTAAATTCTTTTTTTTTTTTTTTTACAGTTTAGATATAGTGTTGATTTTCTTGTTTCTGTTTTTTAAACTGAAATTGTGAGATGCTTGGCTGTTCCAAGATGTACTCTTGGAGAAGGACATCTGGAATATATGTCATTTCCCCCACTGTTAATATTCCACGTTATGTATTTTATAACAGAAAGGTAGATTCCTGGCTTTATTCACCTGAGCTGGTTAAACAGCAGCCTGGAACACAGTTTCACAATCGTGTCATACTAGGTTAAACCCAGCTGTTCCCCAAAATTGTATCTGCACTTGTAAAAATAGTTACTGTGCCGTCAGGCACACCTGTAATCCCAGCATTTGGGAAGCTGAGACATGCAGGTCTCTGGGAGTTCGAGGTCAGTGTGGGCTACATAGAGACCTGCCTGACTACATAGTGAGAACCTGTCTCAAAGAAGCAAAAACATAATTACTGTGCTGTCCGCCACACTCAGAAGTTAGGGACATAGTCTGAAAAATGCCTCCGCTCAGCCGGGCTTTGGGTGCACACCTGTAATCCTGGCACTCAGAGGCTGAGGGCAGCAGGATCACAAGTGTAAGCCCAGCCTGGGTGAGTTAGTGAGTTAGTCTTGTCTAAAAGGAAAAAAAATTAAAAGGGCTGGGTACTGGAAAAAAGATTCCTCCACTTCTGTGATTTTGTTCCTGAGTCCATAATGTGACCAACTTATGAGAAGACTGCAGTTAATATTAGTTATTATTAACCTGTGTGCTTATAAAATGTTATATCACGAACTTATAATACTGATTAAAGAAAAACATTAGTTCTCATTTTTCTTGGATTTCTTTTCCTTGCTAATTATATGAAATTAGCAATACTATCATGAAGCCCCAGTTAGCAATACATGGAATCGACATATTGCAAATTTTTTATCTTTGTTTTTTCTTATTCACTTTATACATGAAATGAGAATAGTTGATTAGGTTAAGACTAAACTAATATTAGGCTCATGTTTTAAATTTAAACATCCAGAATTTTGAGAATTCACCTGTTGTATAGAACATGGCACAGTGGATTCAGTAATTGTTCTTTTCTCTGATATTTTTAAATCTTAGGCAAGAGATCGGATAGAAGAATTTTTTCGGAGCCAAGCAAGTATTTCCAGCCATCGTTTCAATAAAACAGTACCTGCTATACACTTTGTGGACCACAGTTTTCACGTAGTCCGGATAGACAGCTGCCGACCAGGCTTTGGAAAAAATGAAGGTCTACACAGTAACTGCGCAAGCTGCTGTGGTAATTATAAAATCCAAACCTAAATCCCCAGGCCCAGAGCTAGGGGAATTGATCAGTAATTTACGTAGGGTCATTGGACTGAGTCTTTACACTGGTTCTCTTACAAAAACATATTGGCAAAAGTTCAGACCAAATTTCTAAATACATTTCTCTTACTGTACAGGAATCCTCCCTGTGCCCACTGTTGTATTATTAAGCATTTCTGTGGTGTTCTGACTTACACTGCCATCCTGTCGGGAACACGGAATGGTCCTACCTAAAAAGAAATAGGAACTAGAGGGCTGGGGACTTAGCTCAGCGGCACAGCGCCTGCCTGGCAAGGCAAGGTCCTGAGTTTGGTCCCTGGTTGTCGATGTCCGCTCCCGGCCGGCAGGAAGGACACACGACAAAGTCTGGCAGTGGACAACCTTTTCTTTTATTTTCCTTCTCCGTACAGCCTGCCCTGGGATCGCTCCCAGCCGAAGCCTCCTTTGGTCCGCTCCCCGCGGCTCCTTCTGGGCTTCTACTTCCGGGCTTCTCCTTTCCCCCCAGGGGTGGTACCAGTATATATACGGATACAGTGTCCAATCATGTTAAAGTAAGCAAGGCAAGCTGATTGGCTAACATCATCAGTTGCCAGGCAGACTATATTGTTGAGCGGGTTGCTTACGCGGTAAGCAGGAAACTAACTTGCTCGATGGGAGGGGTAATCTACCTCAGGCTTTGTTCTTTACTACAGGCCTCACGTCCGCCAAGTGAGGCGACCGGGCTCGGGGCTGCGGCTCCCAACATCTCCCCCTTTTTTATTTTTTTTTATAAATGTGCACATCGTAGCCCTTCCTGGACTGGGTGCAGAGGCTTATGCCCTATGCGTAGGCCCACCGTAGGTCCTTGGCTTAGACCCTGGTCGGCTGTCCCATGGTCTGCCAAGGCCCTGAGGCCCTCGTCCTTTTTTTAGGGCCAGGCACAAACTGGACGGAACCTGGATGCACACAAGCTTGCACTCATCTTCTCTCCGTAAAGAAATCCCCTCAGAGAGAAATTTAGACCTGGGCAGCATCTAACAGTCCAGCGGCTTACGTGCAGGATGGGGTAGGGCCTGGCTTAGGTTGAGTCGCACCGGGGGAGTACGCTCTTACCCAGCTATGTCATAATTTTTTAGAGGAGGAGTGTGGGAAGCTCACCACCCCTAGACTCGGTCGTAGGCTAGGCGAGCGAGCCATGCATATGCCTGAGGATCTTCTTGTCTATTTCGGGCTACCGCTATTTCTATTCATCTTGTTGGTTGGTCTGTGATGGATCTCTGGTAGGGCAGGTCTGATCTTTAGTCGAGGGCTTTGTCGCCCGTGTCAGTCTCTCCGGTACCCACAGTGGTTCTCGTCCCGATTCCTGTGGGAAAACACAAACCGCGCCTCGGTTCCAGCTGACCACTGGATCCGGGCCCATCCATTGTCCTGTCAGGACATCTTTCCACTTCACCCACCCTTTATGGTTGGGGGAAGGGTTGCAGTGCTCCACGGCTGGGGAGCAATTATCATTATTTAAATTTAAAAAATTGTGTGTGAATAGTGCCATGGATAATCGTGCCTTTGGGGCCAGGCCTTGGCCTACTCCCCCTTTTTGTTTTTGTAAAATTTCTTTGAGGCTTCTATGAGCCCTCTCAATGATTCCTTGACCTTGGGGATTGTATGGGATACCATGTTTTAATTGAACCTCCATCATTTTGCAGAACTCATTGAAGGCTTTGCCTATATAGGCTGGTCCATTATCAGTTTTTAATATTTTTGGTTTGCCCCATGCGGCCCAAGCCGCCAGGCAATGATTGATCACATTAGACACTTTTTTACCTGTTTCTGCTGTTGCGAATATGACGTGAGAACAGGTGTCTGTGGAAACATGAACATATTTAAGAGTCCCAAACTCCTGTATATGTGTGATGTCTATCTGCCAAACATCACCAGGGATCAAACCTCGAGGGTTTACTCCCATCGGTATGGCAGGTTTGTATGTGGCACAGGAGCCACATAGTCGCACGATATCTTGTGCATCTGCTCTGGAAACGTGGAAATGGTTTGCTAGTGTCCTGGCATTGACATGAAACTTATCATGAAAGGCACGGGCTCGCTCGATTGGTGTTAGTAAGGTAAAAATCCATAACGGGCGAGTGGCAGTATCAGCAGCCGCATTCCCCTGTGCCATAGGCCCTGGCAGGGATGTATGTGCTCTTATGTGGGTGGTGAAGACCTTATGGTGTCTGTTCTGGAGCAATGTCTGGATAGACAGGAACAGCCCAGCCACTGTGGAAGTGGATCTAATTAAACCGGCAGTCTCAAGCACTTGCATAGCATTGACCACATACCTAGAATCGGAGACAATATTAATGGCTTCTGAGAACCGTTTAAGAATCATTTTAACGATCTGCAGTTCCACCACCTGAGGCTGATCAGGTTCAAATTGTATGGTAACCGGGGGCTTGCCTAGGATCACATAGGCGCCTATCCCCGTCTTGGAGCCATCTGTGTATATTGTAGTTGCTGGGACTAATGGCTCAGAGGCAGTAACCTTTGGAAAAATTATAGGGTGCTGAGTGACAAATGACAAGATAGGGTCTTTAGGGTATTGATTGTTTATATCCCCATGGAAAACACATCTCAAAATGGCCCACGTATCTATGCAGGCAGCCAGGGTCTTGATCTGGCTGGCGGTATAGGGTACTCGGATGGCTTGTGGTCCTGAGCCAAAATGTTGGACAGCTCTATCATGCGCTTCAAGGGCCAATGAAGCGACTGCCTCCGGGTAATGCTCTATGACTTTTGCAGGTGAGACCTTAGGGTGTATCCACAGTAATGGTCCTTTCTGCCAAATCACCGCTGTGGGCTGTAGACTAGTCTGTAGCAAACAGACATCAAAGGGTCGCCCTGGTTCAATTCTGTGTAAGGTAGCCCCTCCTAAGGCTTTTTCCACTCTCTGTAAGGCAGCTCTTGCCTCAGGAGTGAGCCTCCTGTGGGAGGCTATATCTGGGTCTCCCTTCAGAAGGTCGAACAGGGGTTTGAGATCTGAATTTGGTATATGTAAATATGGCCTAATCCAATTAATGTCTCCCAATAGCTTTTGCATGTCATTTAGGGTCCTAACGCCATCCGTCCTAATGGTGACCTTCTGTATAAGTCTGGAGGCGACACTGAGGTCTACACCTGCTGACCCAGGGGTGGCCCTTGTTGAAGGCTGCCATCCTGAGCTGTCCTGTCTCTGGCGCGGGGGGGCCCGCCTGTGAAGGGGGCCCCCTCTGGCCGTTTTTTGGCCCTCTAACATCTCGTCCACAAATACGGTTGCCCTGAGCATCAAAGACCGACCTACACTCCTCAGCTTTGTGTGATCCCCTCTTGTATCGCCCACAAACATATGGTTTTTCATTCCTAGGGCGAGGCCTAGCATCTGCATTGTTTGGGCAATGACGTTTAATGTGTCCTGGCTCCCCGCAGGCAAAACACCCTTTAGCCTTACATTCCCCTTCTAACCCGCGAGGTCCCCTCTGCTGTACAGCCGCGGCCAGGAGAGCAGCCACTCCCGAGTTGGAGAGCGGCCCCCCTATCTCTCTGCATATCCTAATCCAGGCGTTGAGGTCCTTGTTCTTATGAGGAGCTATCGCTGCCTTGCACTCCTTTGTACATTGCTCAAAAATCAGCTGCCTTACCAGCGGTCGAGCCACTCCCGGATCAGAAAATATCTTATTGGCAGCATCTTGCATTCAGGCCACAAAGTCAACAAATGGCTCTGTGGTACCCTGAATTATTGGGAAAGAACCCTGCGACTCCTTATCGAGCGACTTAGGCTCCTGACAGCTGGTCTCTTTGGCCTCCTTGCCATTCAACTTTCCCTCGTCCTCGGAGTCAGACGACTCCGAGGCTAGAGCCCCGTCCTTCTCCTTAGCATCTTTGTTCCCCTTGACGGGCCCCTCTCGGGAGCTCCCTGACTGGGCCTGCTCAAATACCCTGCGTACTTTTGTAAGCTCTTGAGAGCTTTCTCCACAACCACCCTCGCTCTTAGTGTTGCTACCTAGCATGTTTCCCATCTTTTAATATGTTACTCACCGCGTGAGGCCCAAGGAATCCGCCACTTACGCGTGAGCCTGAGGGGAGTCTAAAAGCCCTGTAGGTGCGCGCCACCCAGAGCCCAGGCTTATCCCCAACTCACCTGTCTCGCAGCTCTGTACTGGAGCGTTGTCCGCTGTCACGTCTCGGGGGTGATCAGTCCCCGTACGGGCCACCAAATGTCGATGTCCGCTCCCGGCCGGCAGGAAGGACACACGACAAAGTCTGGCAGTGGACAACCTTTTCTTTTATTTTCCTTCTCCGTACAGCCTGCCCTGGGATCGCTCCCAGCCGAAGCCTCCTTTGGTCCGCTCCCCGCGGCTCCTTCTGGGCTTCTACTTCCGGGCTTCTCCTTTCCCCCCAGGGGTGGTACCAGTATATATACGGATACAGTGTCCAATCATGTTAAAGTAAGCAAGGCAAGCTGATTGGCTAACATCATCAGTTGCCAGGCAGACTATATTGTTGAGCGGGTTGCTTACGCGGTAAGCAGGAAACTAACGTGCTCGATGGGAGGGGTAATCTACCTCAGGCTTTGTTCTTTACTACAGGCCTCACGTCCGCCAAGTGAGGCGACCGGGCTCGGGGCTGCGGCTCCCAACACCTGGTACCAAAAAAAAGAAAGAAATAGGAGCTAGAAAGCTGGAAGCAGGAACTCATGAGGGTATTGTAAAATGCTGTTACAAAGTGAAAAATAAGATTCTAGCTGCTGGGGGGTGTTTGTTTGGTTTGGTTTTTTTGGTATCAAGGGTCAAACTCACAGTTCCACGCTTGTCAGGCAGGTAGGTACTTAGTCCACTGAGCTAAATCCCGGCCCTTTTTTCTTTCTTTTCCTTTCTTCCCATCCCTGCAACGTATACTTTTATCTTGTTCTTTCTTCTTTTACTCAGCCCAAGCTCGCTTTGCAAAGCCAGTTTCCCCCTCACTCTTCACTGTTACAAATAAACTTTGTCACTGTTAAAAAAAAAAAAAGATTGTAACTTGCCCGTCTTTAAGATCATCAGATTACAAAGTTTGAAACTGGTGAATACTCTCCCATAATTACTGGCTGAACAAGCACCACATAGTATAGCAGTCCCATGTCACTGTGTAGTAATGTCTCCATGGATTTTCCTTTGCAGTGGTCTGTAGTCCTGGGACCTTTAGCCCTGATGTTGATGTCACTTGTCAGATCTGCATTTCTGTTCATATCTACGGAGCTAAATCTTGCCCATAGACTTGGAAGAACAACCAGCAGTGTGAAGACCAGAAAAGAAAGCACTGTCCCTTGCTTTGGGAAGTAGGGGACAGAAGATGACCATTCACGTTCCGGACGACCCCATACACCCAGATCAGTCAGACCAAGACCTCGGGAAACACGCCTTTTGGAAACTCAGTTGACGTGGCCTTTCTAGGAAGGCACGTAACCCAGCGTCTCCAGTATGAGGGAGTTTAAATAGGAGCGGGTGATTTTAATGAGAGATCTTTTGATTTTTTTACAAACTGAAGCTGTTGCTCTGTACTCAGGACTGTACTAAGGTCAAGAATGTAATATAATAAAAATTTTTTATTTTCCATATATATAATTTGTTTTAATTTCTTCATCCTGAAGTTTCAGGTTTTTGTGGTTTAGGTCTTGGCAAATGCGTAATGTCCAATCAAGCACTGCAATTCCCTGTGGACCGTTCTCTGTCCTAAAAATCTGTGTTCAGCTAGCTCCATTCTCCCTCCAAGAGCTGGCAAGCCCTTTTCCCTTTCTTGTCTGTAATTTTACCTTTTCCAAAATGGCACATGGTTGAAATTACACAGCAGGTAGTCTTTTCAGATTTTCAGATTGGCAACTTTCACTTGGCAATGTGTTTAAGTTTTCTTCGAAACTTCATGGCATTATAGCTTTTTTGTTGTTGTTGTTGTTCTGGACCAAACTCAAGACCTTGCACTTGCCAGGCAGGCACTTATGCCTCTGAGCTACATCCCCAGCCCAACTTTAAGGGAAACATTTTTTCTTTTGGTGGTACTGGAGATTGAACTCAGCACCTCGTGCATGCTAGGCAAGCACTGTACTGTTGAGTTATACCCTTAGCCAATAGCTCTTTTCTTTCCTTTCCTTTTCTTTTTTCTTTTCTTTTGTACTGGGGATCAAGCTCATAACCTTGTGCTTGCCATGCAGGCGCTTTGCTACTGAGCTAAATCCCTGGCCCCCGAGGCTCATGTTTTATTGGTGATCATTTCACAGATACACCATCGTACGTTTACCTACACACTGATGAAGGGAATCTTGCTTGCTTTCAGCTTTGGGTGACTCTGAATAAATCCACTATGGACATTTGCTTTACTGTGGACATAAGCTGTCAGCCAATTGGGTTAATATCTTGGAGTGTGATCACTGGTTTATAAGCTGAGACTGTGTCTAGTTTGGTAAGAAATCACCAGGCTCTCTCCCAGAATGGTTTACCATTTTGCATTCCCACCAGCAATACATAAATATCCCTGTTTTTCTCTCTCCGACCCCAGATGTGGTATTGTCATTTTTTTTAGATTGTAGCCATTCTCATATGGGTTCAGTGGCATTTCACGGTCACGTGTGCGTGTGTGTGTGCGTGTGTGTGTCTTTTTTGAGGCAGAGTCTCAATGCAGATAAGGCTGGTCTTGAACTCGCAGCAATCCTCCTGCCTCAGCCTCCTGAGTACTGGGATTACAGGCAGGTGTCACCATGCCCAGCTAGATACAAGCTTTTTATTAGACACGTTTCCAAATATTTTCTCCTACTCTTGACTCATCTCCTCATTCCTTTAATGGTATCATTCACAGAGCAGAAGTTTAATACAGTACAACATTAACTTTTTCTTTCATGGGCCATACTTTCAGTGTCATCACCAAACCCAAGATCACCTCGCTTTTCTCCTAGCATCTTCTAGAAATTAGTTATGTATTTTTTTATTTAAGCCTAAGATACATTTTGAGTTAATTTTGTGAGAGATATTAGGTATCTGTGTTTACTTTTTGTGTAGAAATCTCCTTGTCCCAGGACCATGTGTCCCAAACTGTCCCTCCCCCATTGCACGGCCGTTTTTGCTTTGCCAGAATTCACCTGGAGCGTTTCCCTGGTGTACGTGTGGGCACGTGTGGGGACTGATTGGTCCTTTTGACAACCTCTTGCTCCCTTGACCACCATGGCCGGAAGTCCAAACAGCAGGATCGTCCTTTGCCTCTGCCTTACTTCTCCAGTGTCATCCTAGTATTTCCGGATCCCTCGCCTTGCTGTGGTTGACTTGGAACCACAGCATACCTTCCTGGCCGTTTGATCCGGATTCCATGAATCTCTAGAGCTGGTTTGGGAGAACAGACTCCTTCACGGCGTGGAGTCTTCTGCCCATGAACATGAAGCATCCCTTCATTGCCTTTGATCTTTAAATTTTAAAACCGGTTTCCTTTTTGAATATATTTCCATCAGTAGCTATTACTTTTACCAGAGGCTGGCTGTCCACAGGGGATTCTCACACACGCCTGCCTGCGCTCCCCTCACCACCCCGCCCCCCCCACCGCCCCCCACCCCCACCCCAGATCCCTTTCCTGTGGTCTAATAGTCTCTCTACTTTCACTTTCGGATTCCACGTGGAGGGAAGACGCGCAGTGGTGCGGTGTGGCTTGCGTTCTTCAGCTTGTCCTCTGCAGCTGTCATCTTGCCTAAGGACTGCTGTGGCTATGAGCTTTCTCTGCGTAGCTAGGAAGCATGCAGCCTTTCACATAGGCCTCTGTTCCTAAAGCAAGGCACACTGGCCTCGGAGCCACGGACCACAATCATGTAGCCTGGTCAGCAGCCTAGTAAAAATTATTTCTTATCCCCTGGCCCCCAACACTGTTGTTAGGTATAATTTTAAATACACTGGAGAAAAGCTGTCTGTTTAAAAGACGCATACATGCTTTCAAGATATTCATCACTTTCTTAATTCTAAGCAAATGAATTCAGTCATTTTGGGGACATGGTATCTGTTGAATTACAGTTTTAAAATGCAGTTGGACAACCAGGCAGGGTGGCGCATGCCAATAATCCTAGCACATGGGAGGCTGAGGCAGGAACATCACTGTAAGTTCGAGACCAGTCTGGGCTACAAAGTAAGTTCGAGGTCAGTCTAAACTACACAGTGAGACCTTTCTCAAAAAGACCAAAATAAATAATAAAATAAAATGCAGTTGGAAAAATGGAATATCCATTCACTTTTGTTTTGTTTTGTTTTTGAGATAGGGTCTTATTATGTTGTCCAGGCTGGTCTTTAACTCACTGTGTAGCCCAGGCTGGCCTCAGTCTGGCAACAGTCCTCCTGCTTCAGCCTCCGAAGTGCTGGGATTACAGCATATGCTGCCACGCTGCGCTATCACTTGAAATACAGGAGGTGATTGCAAACTACGACTGTTTAAATTTTTTAAAATTTAATTCAGTAAAAGACACATTGCCAATATTTCCCCTCAAAATACTCTCCCTTGCTTTGAACCACTTACCCCACCACTCTTAGCACTTTCTGAAGCAGCTCTGGAGCCTTATTTCCTGAGTGTCTTTGTAAGGTGTGATTTTAAAATCCAGTGACTGCTGTCGAATGTCATGCAGCAGAAAGACGGGTCACTAAAACCATAACAGTGTCCTCACCCAATTTATTTATTAATCATTTATCTGGCACCCTGCAACTCTGGTCTTCCACATACTCAAAATGACCATGAAAAGTAAACACTACGTCAATTCAAAGCAGCCAAGTAAAGACACAAAAAAAGGACTTCCGGCCCTGCTTCGGAAGGTGACAGGAACACTGAGGTGTGTTCCCAGAGCGGGGAGAATTTTGACAGAGATTAAGGGCAATACGTCTTTTAATTCATTTTTTAAAATTTAAACCTACTGAGGTTCTTTTTTAATTTTGGGGTTTTGTTGTTTGATGTGGGTTTTGGGGAGGCGTTGTTTGATTTTATCAATACAAGGTCTCACTGTGTAGTCCAAACTGACCTTAAATTTGTGGCAATCCTCCTGCCTCAGGCTCCCTGAGTGCTGAGATTACCACTCTGCACCACCATGCCTGGCTTAAACACTCTTGAGATTTTAAATATTTTATCTTATAGTTTTGGTGACCAGCATCTCGGATTTATGGTACTGTTGCCTCTTCAACAATCTTTATGAAATAAGTCACAGACTGAGTCTAACTCTTAGGTGCAATGTTTTATGAGGTGTTCCTTCCACTCAAAACTACAACAAAGTTTTGTGTGTGTGTTTTCAAAGTCAGTATTCTATGCGTTTTCCTCCAAACTACCAGTTTTAAAAATGTAAAGTGTACAAAGTGATGGGTGTTTATGTCTTCATATAAAACCTCAACACCTTCGCTTGTAAAGAGAATAGTATCTTTTGAATACCATTTTGAACACCCATCGTATGCATTTATTGCTAATGTCAGGCATTTATAGTGATGTCAGTAGCTGTTCTGAAGCAGTTGTCATGGGTAGATTTTTCTCAGGAAGTTTGGGGGTGGTGGAATCTCCCATAGAAGGTTTCTAGGCTCCTTCTGCCCTGAACAAGAACTGGTCAAGACAAGCATAAACAGCAGCAGAGTTTTAGATTTATTAAACACAGAGCGGGAAAAATCGGAAAAGAAACAGACTTTGTAGCGTGTGGGCCAAGTAAAAGTAGGAAAATAAATGAGAACATGGCAGGAGGCGCTGAAGGACCACGGTCCCCGTAGAGCCTAGTCCCCAGGCTGACTTCTGGTGTAGCCCTGTCCTACCTGGGAAAAAAAAAAAAAAAAAAAAAAAAAAAAAAAAAAAAAACTGCACGAGTTCTCGCGAGAAGTCGAAGTCGCGTGCTGGGCCATGGGAACTGCTCTGCGCATGTTTCCTAATTAACAGGCCCTGCCTGCTTCTCCAGCCAGTTTTACCAAGCTCTAAACTCCTGTCTCATGGCTTCTTATGCACTTCATTCTTTTTTACTGACTTTTTAACCAATTTTCAGAGGCTTTCACCACTCACTTTGGTTGTGGTTGCGGAACCTTAAGTACATTTTTAAAAGCAAATCAGTAGTTGCCCTCTTGACCCAAAAGAAATGCCCACCCTCAAACGTTAACCCAGGATGGTGGCTCAGACTTGTCATCCCAGGCGTTCTGAGAGGCTGAGGCAGGAAGACCACAACTTTGAGCCAGACCTGGACAGTGTAACAACTTTTCGAGAACGTGTCTTCGAATTTTTAAAGACAAAGAATGTGTAGCTCAGTGCAAAAGCCCTGGGTTCAATTCCCGGTACCCTCCACGCCTTGCTTCATCCTTCCCCCAAAAGATGGAGAGGTAGAAGGTTTTTTTCAAACTCATAGACTAGGGGGACAAAGGAAATATATGATTATTTAAGGGTTTTTTGTTTCTTTGGGGGGAGAGTTTTTTGGTTTTTGCTATTTGTTTTGTATTTTTGAGAGTCTCACAATGCGGTTCAGGCTGGCCTTGAACTCACTATGAAGCCCAGGTTGGCCTTAAACACACAGTGATCCTCCTGCCTCAGCCTTCCAAGTGCTGGGATTACAGACCTGACTAGGTT